CTGCAGTGTGAATATTTTGATTCTTTTATCAACTATAATAGTATAAATGATTATTGTTTTTCCAAGCTATAAGTAACAAAGAACAGTTTGACATAAAAAAGAAAGTCAAAATAAACTGGTCAGTTGCCCAACCATTTAGAAACTTAAACAAAATGTAATAGTATTTTTTTCCTATTAACATTTGTTCATATAGTAGATATGTTTGTTCATGTATGGGTGAACACGTTTGTGGATTCAAGAGAATAATGATGTTTGCTTTCCGCAAATGCCATCATTCTTGGTTTTGTTTAAGTATATGTGAGATGACAGGGTCTCTCACAGGTCCGAGGCTCACAAACTTGCTTATACTGACTTAACCAGTGAAATTTAGGGATCTGTTTCTCCGCATACTGGAATTACAAACCCACATCACTATGCTTGGAATTTTAACACGGGTTCATGGTGCTAAACTCAGAATCTCACGGCTGTACAGGAAGCACTTTACCAACTTAACCATCACCTCAGCCTTGACTTTTGATCTTGATGCTTTTCTATGCCTTTACTTTGGAAATACAGAACTTTTTTTCCTATGCTTTTATTTTATTGTTTTTAGAAATACACAACTTTTTACTTCTGAATATATGTGCTTTGGGTTCCTCACGATGAATGACCACAACTTTTAGGACTAATTAAAGCTCCTTTGATAAAAAGAAAATATATTGTCATTTACCTCTGTGATTGTGCCTTCATCCCTTACTTAGAATTTTTTTTCTTGAATTTAATATATATTCAAACCATGAATTCTTTGTCAAAAGTACATATATATTATGTATTGTTCAAATCAGTGCTAACCTATATAGCCTCTCAAATATTTGCCATAACTTTGGCGGAAAATACTATTTTTCTCTTCTGGTCCAATAACAAACTGATTCCTGAATTCTGTTCTTATGTTTCCCAGTCACTATCTGTATAATGATCACTGCGTAGTTTCTTTTTTCTTTCTTTTTTTTTTTCTTTTTAAACTTCTGCAGTGTTTTGTTTGCTTTGGTATCTACTCCTACATTCTAACCATCATGATGTCTTTTCCTGACTGGTTTTGTTGCACAAGACTGTATTTCTAACTCCAGTGAGTCCCTGGTGTTGACACCAATGAAAATTCAATATAAGGATGTTATTTCAGGAGGATTAAGGCTTGGTTAAAAAATGACATATAGGAGAGGAAATGACATTATACTAAATCATTGTCAGTGACAATCTAGAGGGAAGCTTGGTAGTAGAATTAGAAGAGGGAAAACCATGGCAAGGTTTATGTGTGGGCTAAACATAAATTATTGGGTTGCCTAAAATTAAGTAGTTAACGAGTTAAGACAGAAAAAGAAAATTGATATATTAAGTTATTTAAAATTTATAATGGCCCTTATATTTGGAACTGTAGAAATGTCAATTTTTGTATGGTTTAACTAGTAAAAAAGCATCCACATTAGCTCAGAGATAAGCAAAGCAAATAACAAATAAGCATGACAGGATCATTCTGTTTTTTTCTTAGATATGTAGCCATTAAATGCAAGTTTCTTAGGGATTTTTTTCTCATACCAATTTTTAATAAAATATAATATTCACTTCTTTATATAATATTGGTTTTCATTTCCCTGTAGTTGGCGTTTTGATATCCTTCTAAAGGTGTCTATTAAAAAATTATATCAGTTACAATCCAATTGTCAATGCATGAAATTGTCTTTTTCTCTTATGTTCTTATTCACAGAACTTCATCAGAGCATGACGAATTTGATGACACAGATGGAGATCAGTAACCTTGTCATTTTGTTTATGTTTCCTCAGAGAGTACAAAAGTAAATTCACCATTTCCATGATGACTATGAGGTTGTTCTTGGATAAAACAGCAAAGTTCTTTTATTTTTTTAATTTTTATTCTTTATTTAAATTTGAAACAAGCTTGTTTTACATGTCAAACCCAGTTCCTGCACCCTCCCATTCTCCCTGTTTCCCACACCAACTCCCATCCTATCCCCTTTCTGCTCCCCAGGAAGGGTGAGGCCTTCTGTGGGGAGCCTTCAAAGTCTGTCATAACTTTTGGAGCAGGGTCCAGACCATTTCCCACGTGTCTAGGTTGAGGGAGTATCCCTATGTGAGGAATGGGCTCCCAAAGTCCATTCATATACTAGGGATAAATACTGATCCACTACCACTCTATAGACTGCTCAGTCCTCCCAATTAACACCCAAACTCAGGGAATCTTGGTTGGTCCTATGCTGGTTTCCTCACTTTGTGACTGGAGTCCACTAGTTGCCCCTTGTTCAATTCTTAATGCAAGTGATTATTTTACTCTTGATGCACTTCCCTAGTTCCAAGGTCATTGCAGAGGACATTTCAAACCTAGAACACTTAAATTTCTCTTCAGTGGTAATAGCTGATGTTTGGCAGATTATAGGTGGATAATAACCAATCTTTCTCCTGGGTTTTTCTTCATCTTAGAAAGGTTATATTTGCATTTAAAGTTGTTTTTCTTCAGGTATTCAATCTTCTTGTAATTCTGCTTGAAACAGCACCAAGGTTTTACCAAAGGACATAACATAATCTTTGGAATATATTCATTATGGATATTAGTAGAATAGAGACATTAATTACTCAAAATATTAAAGATCATGAAGAATTTTTATTAATATGTATTTTGAAACAACTTAAGTGGGTTTTTTCAATAGTTTAAGTTATACCTTTAATATCCAAATAAAATTTGTAATGAGTTCACAAATAAAACATTTCACTGATTTGTTATAATTTTACTATTTCTGGTAACTGCTTTTCCTGTTTTGTTTTGGTTATTGTAGATAACTCAAGAAATATCCAATGAATGAAGCAAATACTCTGAAGTAATGGAGTTCATATTCCTGGGATTATCAGTCTACAGACCAATACAATATTTCTTCTTTGCATTTTCTACAATATCATATGCAACAATTTTTCTAGGAAACATCTCAGTTGTGCTTACAGTTATCTTTGACCCTCATTTACATTCACCCATGTACTTCCTTCTAGCTAATCTTTCATTTGGTGACTTATGTTTTTCTACCTCAACTGTTCCTAAGTTGATTTCTGATCTATACTCCAGGCATAATACCATTTCATTCCAGGGCTGTATCTTCCAGATGTTTGTCCTTCATGTCCTAGGGGTTTGTGAGATGCTGTTGCTAGTTGCCATGGCCTGGGACAGATATGTGGCCATATGCAAACCACTCCACTACCTGACCATCATGAGTGCATGGACATGCCTTTTGCTTCTGATTGCTGCCTGGATTTTTGGGCTCATTCACTCAGTGGCTCAATTAGCTTTTCTTATTCATTTGCCTTTTCGTGGTTCTAATGAGATAGATAGTTTTTACTGTGACCTTTTAGGTTCATCAAACTGGCCTGCATAGACACTTACAGAATGGAGTTCTTGATTACTGCTGACAGTGGGTTAATTTCTGTCACTACCTTCTTCTTATTGATTGTCTCCTACATCTTCATACTGTTTACTGTATGTAAACAGTCCTTGGGCAGTTTGTCCAAGGCTCTCTCTATGCTTTCTGCTCACATCTCTGTGGTTGTTTTGTTCTTTGGACCATGCATCTTCGTGTACATGTGGCCATTTCCAACTGTACCAGTGGATAAGTTTCTTGCCATTCTGGACTTCATGATTACACCCATCCTGAGCCCTGCAATTTACACTCTGAGGAACAAAGACATGAAGGTGGGTGGCAATGAAGAAGCTGAGTGAACGGCTCCTGAGAAGGAAAAGTTTCTGCTAAGTTCCTCACAGGAATACATGGCCTCAATACTGTGATATAAACACAAATGTTAAATTATCCCCTTTACTTTGACAAGATTCATTATTCCTACTCCAACAGCTTGACAAGCTGGAATCATTTATTTCAAGTTGATAATGAAATGTTCACATATTTGTTGGTTATTAGCTATATAATATTATATATTTATTGGTTATTATTTATATTTTGCATTTTATTTATTTATTATATATTTAGTGGTTATTATGAAATACATATTTTAGACTATTTAAAAAGCGCGAATGTAAAGGAAAGTAACAAATTATCCTTTGTTTTCACAGCTGAAATATTCATTGCCTTCCTGACATTATTCGTATTAGTTTTCTTATTATTTGGGGTTACGTTTTATCCTCCAATTCAAACTCCTCCTGGATCAGCCTCCCGAGTGCTAGAATTAAAATGTGCACCATCACTTTTTGCTGGCTTTTCACTTTGTGTGTATGGTCAATGATTAGACTATATTGTGTGGGTAAAGGCCAGCAGGAAGAAAAGATAGATGTAATGTGGACTTTTCTGGGAAACAAAGAGTGAAAGGTGGTGCACAGAGAAGGAAGTAAGGTAGAAAGGTTGATGCTAGGATGTACTTTCAGGGGCATATTTGAAGAGATGAACTTATGTAGTGTGTGTTGGGGTCGGTGCTGCTACTTCAAAATCTAGCAGCTCCTGGTGGGGGTGGGGGAGGATGAGTGGTGTTCAAAGGGGTGTAGTGAAAAATGGAAAATGAAGACAAAGAGCTTCAGGTTGTATGTGTAAAGGAGTGAAAGAAGAGGGGTGTTGGGGAAGGGGAGTAAGGAGTTGGAACAGGGAGTGGGAGATGGAAGCTGAGAAAGGCACTATCAACAGTGAGGGTGACATGGACATTTAATGGAACTCAGATTTGTTTTCATGCAGAGAGAGGGCCAGAAGTGGCCTGTTACAAACACAATGGACTCTCTTAAACTCCAGGGATGTTAAAGTTCAGGAGCATCTCTCTTGTGCATGCGCACACTAATGTTTACCAGTGTTGCTTGGCAACCTAGAGTTGATCAACTGTATCGGGGGTCGGGCGTATCAGAAGCTATTTACTCCATCCTACAAACATGGTGGGGTATCTTGTGGGTATATCTTGCTTTTCCATAAGCTGATACTGAGTTTGGAAATCAGTGGGACTAGGAACAAGTCCTTGGGAAAATCTGAAGAATCAGGGACAGGCGGTTGAGACCAGTGGCTTCCGCCATGAAGAACTTAGTTCATGGAATTAAGGAAAAGACACCTATGGGCTTCTGCGATGTCCCACGAAAAAACTTGTTGGACTTTTTACGTGATATGAAAAGTATTTCTGTCCCAAATGAACCCAGATACAAACCTCTCAAAAAGATTCACCAGGCTGCAAGTGAGGGTGATGCAGAGAGACTGCAGAGAATGATAAGTCTTGGAAAACACAGTGTACATGACAGAGACTATAAGCAAAGGTAACGACGCCTATGAACTGGAGGAAGGGGCCTGCGTGGAGGATACGAAATGGCCTCTGTTATGTTCAAAGACAGGATAGGGGAGCCAGGAGAAGGGGAGGACCTCTCAGTGTTCTGTCTGCTCTGGCTCCTCAGCACTGTCTCATGACTTGCACACTAGCTGGAGATTCCTACTCCAGATCATCCGAAGCAGCCTACAAATTTTTCCTAATAAATCACAAATTTATCAAGTAATTTATTTATTATTGATAACATGAACACCTATTATGTAGCATTTATATTATACTATTCCTAAAACCTTTCTGCTTTGCCCCCTTTCTAAGCAAATTTAGAGACTTTAAGTACAATTTACAATCCTTAAAATTATTAATAGTTAAATGTATCAGAAAAAATTATTTTCATATAATTTTATGTACTTGAAACCTTCTTTACTGAGTAGGAAGAATATTGTTGATATTAAATTGAGTTGTCAAGTGCAGGGAGCTATTCTAGATATTTTGCATAATTCCTATTGAAGCATCATCATGGTATCCTGTGAGTTAACTATTATTTCTTATCTTTGCTTTACTGATGAGAGAATTGATTCGTAGAAAGTAAGTAGTTTGTAGCAAAGTATATGTTGTAATTAAATTATATTTTAATTATTTTGTTATTTATTAATTATAAATCACAATTATTTAATTGGTATTTAATTATTATAAATATAAGTCTATGGTTTATAATTAAAACCATGCTTTTTCTGCTTCTGGTTGAGGATATTGATCAATGGGAGAAGTCATGTGCTCAGTTCACAGAACCACACAAAAGATGCCATCAAAATGTTGCCCATTACTAATATAGTGAGTAATACAAGCTAATAAATATTTCCATTTTTTTTTCTCATGGACTTAAACATTTGTTCAGAAGGTGTAAGAATCACATACCATTCAACGTTTAAGAATTATGTGCCATTTAATATTTTATGATTATGCAAGTTATTGTTAACTTTAAGATAGTATTCTAGAATTTCATTTATTCTTCATTTCCATAGGACTGCTCTGCATTTTGCTTGTGCCTATGGCCAGGTAGAAGTAGTAAGTGTGCTGTTGAGAAATAATTGTGACATTGATGCCGTTGACATGAACTCTGTGACACCTCTGATGAAGGTATATATAGCTATCCAAATCTAGCATAATATAGACTTGATTTAAATGTTTATTAAAAAACTTACCCCATGAACATTTCACCTATTGAATTTTTTAACAAGCAATCTGTTTCTTGGTATAATCCCTAGGCTGTACAAAACTGGACATATGAATGTGTACGTACATTGTTGAAGCATGGTGCTGATCCAAACCGTATGGACAAAGATGGCAATACTTCTCTTCACTATGCAGTGTATGAAGACAACCAGACACTGGCTAAATGCTTGCTTAAATATAGTGCAGACATGGAACAAAAGAACAAGGTGCAGTTCACAGTGCTGTAGTTCTCAAGTAATCTGAAATACGTGTGTGTGTGTGTGTGTGTGTGTGTGTGTGTTAATGTTAATACATGTAGGATTAGTTTGCATGTTAGACATTCAAGCATCCCTTGAATGAAAATACTTTGAAATAGCTTAATTGTTTAAAAATATTATTTCAAATATGGATGACTTGAAAGAAGGGTTAGAGTGTAGAGCTTTCCTGAATCTCACTAGGGCTAGTATTGGTGAAAACATCGTTTGCTATACTTATTCAAGGTAAAACTTTACTTTTCATGTTTTTTTTTTCACTAAAATTTGTGCCTAACTTCTGTGAAGTAAGAGCAAAACTTCCTTTGCTAATGAAACTGTTTCAAAACCCCAATACAACAAAATAATTTTTGACAAATTTTTATATTAATGCTGCTGACAAGTAATATAAATGGTGTGTTTCTCTATGTTAAGACTGAACCAGTGAATATGGAACCAAAAAAACCGGTCAGAAATATGAAGGACCACCTGGAAATTATGCAATTGAATGAATCATGAAGAATTATTACTATTTTCAAATTATTATTTTGATGAACATTTTTCATCTATTTTGATCACACTTTCCCATCCCCCAATTCCTCGCAGATCTCCACCCATTCACCTTCTTACCTATCCAAGTTCTTGACGCCCTTCACGCACACACACACATGCACCCACACACACACACAGCCACCAACAAAAGTCAAAACTAAGAGAAGTATTTTAGTATGAGATTATGTACATTGGTACTCTGTTTTCTGTTTGATGAGTAGTCAGTCTTTGTTTGCCAAGGTTACTGAGTTATAAATATGCCTGTAGTTCAATCTGAGGAACACTCTGAGGACGTCAAACAGGTAATGAGTGTGTGGTAGTTATATGGAAAAGCAGAAGAAAAAAATCAAAGAATTTACTGGCATATTTCCAGTTTTGTTTAAGAAATGAAGAAGTTATGTCAAAATATAACTTCCATTCCTACATTTAGAATGACTGAAATGGGAGGAGAGAGAGGTGGAATTTGCATTTTTGCATTTTGAGGTGAAATATGATAGTAGTCGCTTGTTTCCTGTCTGCTCCCCCCAAGGGAAATTATATTTTCAGTTCTTTCTCTTTTCAGTAATATGAACAAATGGTGAGGTAACTAACCATGTGGGTTAGAAATGAGGCAGCTTCCTAGTTCTAGATTTGTGTGTTCAATGACCTCAAAAAAGTGTGGACATTTGTATTGCAAGTAGAGGTTTCTATACAGAGTTTGAAGCTTTAAATCTATTTAGTCATGGGCAAATGTATTAACAAAATTATTTCTTTGAAATTTTGAAACAGTTCCTAGATAGACATTGAATGCATTGATGCTAGAGCACAAAATCTTAAGGGACTCTACAAGAGTCAGTATGATCTCAATAATCTTAGAACTATTTTCCTCTTTTACTATTTTTATGTTTGGGAAGAAAATAGAGTAACAATGGTGATGATTAGCTTATAGAATAATAACTCCCTTTGCTTTAAGACATCAGTAATACACTGTTTTTAAAAGATATTAAAAATTATAAGCTAGATTTTAAGAATTCTATGTATTATTAATATTCAGGTCAAAAGATTCCAAACTAGTCATTGCAAGTGTTTTTTCTACATCAAAAGAGTAGAAAAATCACAAACTTGAAATTGACAATGTGACTTGCAAAGTTCATAAAATCAGAGTACCATATCCTAGCAGTTGTAAACACAACAGTGAGAGAAGGACAGAGTTGAAAACTATATGAATAATGTTGCTTTAATACTCATAAGCAACAAATGACTCATTTATTAACATTAGAGGAAAACAGAATGCAAATGAGGTGTGAATTAACAAAAAATTTGAAAATTTCATGGTCAGTATAAGAGTTTATATTTCCTTTTGGAAAATATCATTTAAAAAAATATTAGAGAGATTGTTTCACATGTAAATTTTGGTTTATACAAACATATTGGCAGAAACATTCACTGGAAAGATGAAAAACTCAGGAGCTATGTACTTAGTATGATCCTTGGATATTAGTAGTTTCCTCTGGGAACTGAACACACTGCTAAGCCTCAAGATACTCATGCAAAAACCTGCTATTAAGTTGCTCTTAAGGAATCGAATCCCATACCCACATGATATCTGTGTGAGCAAACAGGTTTATTGTTGAGTTAATAACCTGAGTTCCACCTCCAGGACCCTCCCCTGTAAGTATTCCTCTGATCTCCAAAAGTATGTTTGGTTTCCCTATGAATGTATGTTCACCTTTGTACCTAAACAATACATAAAATGAGTTAATAAATGTACTGTAACAAAAAATTTAAATCCAGTTGGCCTTAAGCATATGTTGTTGTTCAGTGTGTATACAGGTGGCCATGTGTGGTACAAGTGTAGATCATTTTAAAATATTGATCTGGATATAAAACTGCAGCTAATTCACACCCAAACTTTCGCTACTTGTGTTTGAGGATATAGCTATTTATGCACAGATACAACATATACCCTCAAGAAAGTTTTAAAGGAGTTGAGAGCAATCACATGACTCCATATACTAAATTCTATGGTAGAAGGAAATATTCGTTGAGCAGACACAGTTTTAAAATGATCTTTGGAAGGGGGAATGTGGTTTTCATGTGTTACACATGGGTGGATGTAGGGCATGTCAGTGAGAAGTAATGTTAAGTGACAGTAAGGGAAGCAGCTGCTTATTCACTCTAACAAGCATTTGTAATCACAGGGGCTGTTTAAGACTCAATTTAGTTAAATATTGCAATGATTTTGGATTGTAGATTGTTTTCTTTTGTTTTGCAGGATGGCTTTACACCACTTTTACAGGCTCTCAAGGAAAACAAAATAGAGATGGCAAAATTTTTAGTAAAGAATGGGGCAAATATACACGTATTTGATGAGATGAAAAGGTATTTTTGAATGTTTTAAAAGTATGAGTGGCATACTGAAATAACAATCACACAACCAAGAAATATCACATTGATGGAAAGAAGATTAAAATAGGGACTCAGTGATCAATTATTAACTAGTTATTAGTCTAATTAGATAAGCAAGCAATAAGTTGAATGAGTTTCATATCCCCCTTATTATATTGATTAATGCTTCTTATTTGATACTTTGTTTGTTTAGATAGATGATTTCATGGATTTTAAGTTTGGTTTTACTAATTTTTTAAGAACTTTGGACTTTTCGATTAACTTTGATTTGTAACAAAATTCAATTACCTTTGTTAGCATTTTTCCTTGTTCTTATATGGTTGCCCTATAAAATGCCATATTAGTCATAAAAAGAGTGGACAATCACAAAATACTGTGTAACTCCTACCTTTCAATTCACTCTGAAAAATAATGAGGTCAGATTATCCTTTAATGACAAAGAATTGCTATTGTAGTTTTCTGTTCAGCCCCACCCCTTTTGTCTTCTACAATTGGTATTGATGTGTTTATATTTACATGGTATTTGGAACAGTAAGCAAATTCACTTCATTAGAAGAAACAGTAATGCTGTTAAGTCATAGGTGAGTAGATACAGGTTTGTAGATAACAGTTAAAATGTGAGATACTTAGTTGCTAGGTATGTAATCTGCTAGTGTTAGATATCACCAAATATGAAGAGGATAATATACTGAAAGGTTTTCATGAGGTCATTTATGATACATTTAGGGCAGAACATAGCATGTTATCATCATTACTATCTGTAGCTACAATGAATCTTATTATTAACAGAATATTTCATAATGTTATTATTGCTTAAATAATGAAAAGAGCTTTCAATTATCTGATTAGTACTTGTAACATGTTACACTAAACTAGAGAAAATGGAATCATCATTTAAGTCCTTATATATTTAAGAAGAATAGCTTTTATGCACTTAGATTCTATCAAAGGTGATAATGTCTAAGAATTCTACAAAAAATCCATTTCTTCTTTTATCTTGGACACAGTATATAAAGATGAATCCTTGTAACCAATATATATATATATCACAATTCCAAACAAGATATTAAATTTGTAAAATATACCAAAGTATTAATTTTTAATTAAAGAGCCCTTAATGATGCTATTTCTGTGTTATTCCAGAAACACACTCTTATATGCCATAAGATGGGATTCAAAGGATATGGTGAGTCTACTTCTGAATGAAGGCATTGACTTTTTCTTCAAAGATGTGTTTGGATGGACTGCATTACGTTATGCTATTGAAGGCACAAGTAAAGGGTAGGTGTTTGCATTAGAATGCTAATGAACACTAACTTGTAGTTCAAATTAATCACAAAGTCTTCATCTTCCCTCACATAATATATTGTTGTTGACTCTAGGTTGTTTTGGAATCCAATACGTAAAATATTTTAGAAGTAGAAATGAAGAAGGGTTTCCTTATCTCATGAGTTGGTTTGGTAATGCTAAAGATTAAATCAAGTACCTCATTTGGGCTGGATAATTCTGTCACTGATCTATACCTCTATGTGGAACTTTCTGAACCTAAAAATTATGAATCCTAATATTTTCAATTTCATCCAACTATAACTTTATAAAATATATAAATATATACACCCTTACTATATATATGTATATCTATATACATATATATAGTAATATAGTATCAGATGTTGAGCACTCTAAATAGTTATTTTAGTCTTCAGGTACAGTTTTGCAGAAAATAGTATTTCTTTCTCTGGCCAGTTTTCTATATATCTTTGAATCTTAAGGAAGATAAAGGTTTCTGAGTTCCCTTATGTCCCAGGAGGAGTTCTCTCTTTCAAAAGGCAGGTGGAGCAAAAAGGGGGCATTCTATTCCCTCTTTTGTTTCTATTGATTCTGTTGCTGCAATGTTGGTATTCACTTGTCCCAGAGACCCGAAGGGATTGACCTCGATAACCAGATTGCCTTTGTTGAATCAGTTCTTTAGTGATTTATGTTGATTTACACTTCCATTGAAAAGTTACAATATTTTAATTGTGCTATTAGTCCCAAAGTGACAGGGTTTTCCTTTGGATTCTGGGCTTTTAGCTTGTACCATGCTCATTGCTAGCCATTTGATCATTATTATTTATTCAGAGTTTTACATGGAGCCACATTTTTTAAACCTTAGACCGTAATGGTTTATTAACTGAAGAATTTGTTCATCTCTTGTGATACAAAATATGATTTAGGCTTATTGTGGACTGTCATAAATGGGCAAATCATGATGCAGAGAGCATCACAAGCTGGGCATTGGAGTTGATGCCTAATCCAGGCACTCATGAGGCAGAGGCAGGTGGATCTCTTTGAGTTCCTGGCCAGCCTGGTCTACAGAGCTAGTTCCATGACAGGTTCCAAAGCAATAAAGAGAAACCCTGCCTCAAAAAAACGAATGAATGAATGAATAACGAAAATCAAGTATTTATTCATTACTGCTAGAACTTTGTCAATAGACCCTTTTGCAGAGTGTGCAGCATCCTTCCCTAGGTGCTATGAGAGCCAATTTCATCCTTGAGTAGCAGTCAGCCTTAGTTTGTACTTAACAAAACTCATTCACATTATGTTCCATTGGAATCCATGTATAAAATAGGATTTTGCCTTTGAAGGCCTTTGGAGACAAACAGGACATCTTTTAGTCACTTGGAGAGGTAATGTCAGCTATCATAGCTATCCAGAAAACACAAAGTCCTTTTAGAGTGACCCTTTAGATCAGATTGGACTGTAAGATGATCAGTAGGGAATTGTCTTGATTGCTGATAGGTGTGGCAAGACTCAGCCTAGTGTGGGTAGCACCATTTCTTAGGCAGGAGTCCTGAATTCTGTAAGAATAGAGTATGTGAGGAACATGAATTGCTTTTCTTTTTTTTTTTTTTTTTTTATGGTTTTGATTGTGGAGTACCAACAACTCTTACTTCAAGTTCTTTCTGTCTTAATTTTCCTGCAATAATGATATGCTACTATGAGTGAAAATAAGTCCTTATTCCTCTAATTCTGATTTGCCAGGCTATTTTATCACAGCTACAGAACTGAAATTAGAAAAGTATTTCATATTTTTTTTTGGATAGCTATAATAGCTGAATATAAGACTGGGAAAGGAAATAATACATTGGTGAAAGATTTCTGTACCCTGATATTAAGTCTCTCAGCAGACACAGTAGCCAAATTGAGCCAAATTAAAAGGTAAAGGGCCAGGTTTTATCTGAGCAACATACTCCCAGGTAATTCTCAGAAAAGGCAGCTGTTAGAAAAATCACATGACCCATCTACAGCCCATAGTTTAAATTTCCTGTAAGTGTGGTCTTGAGCTTCAGGGAAAGAGTCTGAACTTCTGGAGGTCTTTTTGAGTGGGCAGAGTTTGGAGAGTGGGGAGTGGGGCTGAGTTTCAAGGTGGAGTTTCCAGCCAAACAATTAGGTGTTAGTAGAGTATGATATACCTTTGATATTGTCTGCAACATTCTGGAAAATTCAACATAGTATAAAGATGTTTTTCACACCAATTTTATAATAGTAATTTTATGTTTTTTTGTTTTTGTTTTTGGATTTTTTTGCACATGATAGTAGTCGAGAGATTCTTATGGACTACGATGAAAAGTTGCGTATTAAACATAAAAATGGCAGTTCAGGTATGGTCTATGATAATTATAAGTGGATATTAAAATCACAATTGGCACACAGCCAATATAAATCAACACTTTTGTTGTGTTTTCTAAGCATATGTAATTGAAACTGCTTCCCATATTTTGAATATTTTAATTTAGGCAATAGCACTAGCATTCTGTTGATTTTAGTTACCTGTTATTAAGAATTATGGTTGTCTCTTGTTAGGATGTACAGTTATAGTAGCCTCACTAAAATAATGGCAATGCATTATTTCAGTCATCCTGAAGTGGTTTCTATCTTACTGTATAGTTGAAGTTGGCTTCTAATGTAAGTTGTCTTAATTTCTCAGTTGTTGAGATTAAAGGCATGCAGTGCATACTCAGAAGTTTTCTTTATTAAAATCAACAACTTTTGTGGAACTAGGGATTGAACGCAGAACCTTGTACTTTTTAAAGCAAGTTCTATAGTCATTGTCTACCCCCTCAGCTCCTTTTTGCCTGTTGTTTTTATTATACTTATAGGATATGATGGTAAACACACTGGAAAAAGATTTATTTCATAGCAATTTTCCACTTAATGCAAAAGGTTGAAAGAAATTGCACTCTGTACTAAACTTTACTGTTTAGCCTCTTTTCTTTGGTTCTGGTTTTATGTGTAATAATCACAGGAGTTTGCCCATTTTAAAAGTACATGTTCACCTTATTACGTAGCTTCTCTGGTGCTGTGGATTATAGTCTGGTTATCCTGTACTTTACAGCTAAGGAGGGCCCACACATTGACACATGGATTTCCTGGGAAGGGAGAATAGAAGAGATCTCCTGGGTAAAATGGGGTGGGTTTGGGAGGATGTGGGGGTGGGGAGGATGATGAGAGAATGGGAAGAGGAATGATGGGTTTGGGTGGGTTGGGGAAAGAATGGAGGGGGGAAATAATGAAAGATGTGTCAGGCATTTTGGGGCTAGGAAGAAACCTGGTGCTATGACAACTCCCAGGAATCCATAATAATAATCCTAGCTAAAACTCCTAGTAATAGTAGGGAGGGTGACTGAGCTGGCCTTTGCCTTTAATCAGATTGGTAACTAACTGTCATCAGAGAACATTCATTCAGTAACTGATAGAAACAGAAGCAGAGTTCCATGGCCAAGAACTAGACTGAGCTCCAGGGGTTCTCCTGAAGAAAAGGAAGCAGGATTGTAAAAACCAGGGGTGTCAAGATCATGATGGGAGGGACCCTCAGAGACAAGTGACCTGACATTTTTGAAAGCTTAGGAACTCTGGACCAACAGCTAGGGAATTTACATGGGACTAACTTAGACCCTCTGCATGTGTGTGACAGTTGTGTAGATTGGTCTATTTGTGGTACTACTCACAGTGGGATCAGGACCTACCTCTCTCTGATACTTGAGCTTGCCTTTGGGTACTATTCCCCAATTCTGGATTGCCTTGTTTAACCTTGATGCAGGTGGAGGAGCTTAGTCATACTTCAACTTGATATGCCAAGGTTTGTTGACTCCCATGTCAGGCCTGCTCCTTTTTGAATGGAGATGAGGAGTAAAGGATGGGGGAAGGGGAGAAAAGGGAGGTGGAGGGGGTAAATGAGAAGGGAGGAGGGAGGGAAAATTGTAGTCAGTAGGTAAAATAAGTGAAAACTTTAATAAACAGAAAAAATACCTTGTTGCTACCTATCATAGAGTCAATAAACAGCTTTTATAAAAATAAAAAGTACTCGTGTCAAAAGATTTCCCTAGAAACTTCCTGTTACAATGTACTGTGTTCTTTTAAGCTTAAATATCTCTTTATTTAACGCAAGTCAGGACTGGTAAACCTTTAAGTTCTGATATCAAATTAGTTGTTTCTACTATACGAGATGTATCAGATGAATCTGGTTTCAATTGCACCAGATTTAAAAACACAGAAACAGCTGTCACTAGAAGAAGGTTTTAGCATTATTCCTGGAAGAGGATGACTTGCATGGAGCTTGCTTTGCATCTGAAAAGTCTTTACCAAGCCCCTTTGTTTTGTTCTAACTCCATGTTTGCCATGCTGTAAAGTTTGCTATTGATAGTTGAGCTTCTTTAAAATAATATATCTTAGAATATACTGAAATTTGGACCTAATAGTTGATATAATTGTTGGTGTAATAACAAAATAAACAAGCTCAGAATTGTTGCTACTGTTGTACTGCACATGTATCCTCCTATTTTCTGCTGTTTATTCCTCTCCATTGAAGTCACTGAGATAAAATTGAGTTGCCATAGATATCATTGGACTTTACAACTTACTTTTAGGTGTTGATTTTTGGAAGTTTTAGTTTTCTTCATTAGGCCTAGTGAATAGAAAACAAGAAGTAGATTTTTTTTTTTTTAGTACATTCATTACTCAATCAGCAATATAATTAGAACCCATCTTTAGGCTATTCTTCAGACACGGTCTAAAAGTAATGTTTCAAATGAAATTTTAGAGTCCTATGTTTTTAATATTTTAGAATTTTTAATTTTTCTATTTAAAATAAATTTCTTTTTCTTAAATAGCATGCAAGAATTCTGAAGACAATTCATTAGCCAAGTAAGATTTGTATAAATATAAAAATCATGTTTCCTAATTGTTGAATGTATAGATGAATAAATTGTTGTTCACTATTCTACTCTGTTGTAATCTCTCTCGTTATTTTATGTTAACATTAGTTAGTCCTTATAACTACCATAATAAATGGTCAATGTTTTTCCTATTTTTTTTTTAATTTAACATGTTGATCCCAGTTCCCTCTCCCTCTTTCCCTCCCTGTCTCCCTCCCTCCCTTCTTCCCTCTCTCCCTCTGTCTTACCCTCTCTGCCCCTTCACATGCACCCTGACCACCCTTCCCTCCCATCCCCCCACCCCAATTCCACTTGTAGGCTAATGTCATCTAGGTGAGGTCATGTAAATCTGTCAAGTCATTTGAAGTAGGAACTAGGACTTCTCTCCTGTCTCTAGGTTAAGGCAGTATCCCTCCATGGGGGATGTGTCCACAAGGACCTTTTGTACACCAGGAATACATCCTGGTTCCACTGTCTGAGGTCCCTTAGACTGCTCAGTCCTTCTAGCTGAGACCCATATTCAGAGGTCTGAGTCAGTCCCGTGCTGGATTCCCAGCTATCAGTCTGGGGTCCCCTTAGCTCCTCCTTATTCGGGTCAGCTGTCTCCTTGTGTTTCTGCAACCTGGTCTTGTCCATTCCCTCTGCATCTGGATTCTAGTTAGACTCAGTGTTTAGTTATGGGTGTTTGCTTCCGTTTCTAATAGTTACTAGATGAGCACTCCATGATGGTAAATAAGTTAGTTGTTGATCTCACTATCCAGGAAGGGCATTTATGGTAGCCTTTCCAAGGTTGATCAAATTGTTAGTTGGTGGCAGTCTTGTAGGTCTCTAGACCTTTCTTTAGGTTCAGTTTTATCTTCAAACCAATAATGGCTCCCTCATTTATGTTCATTCTTTGTCTCTCTCTCTCTCTCTCTCTCTCTCTCTCTCTCTCTCTCTCTCTCTATCTCTCCTGTCTTCTATTCCTACCCTGGCTCAATCTCCCTTGTCTCAGGTGCTTTCCTCTTCCATTTCTCTTTCTCCTAATTATCTCTCCATTCACTGCCCCCCCCCCACTTCCCATGTGCTCTGGGGGACTTGCCCCTTCCCCATTCTGTGAGGGACTTTATATGAATCTCTTAGAATACACCTTGTGACCTAGTTCCTCTGGTGGTATAAATTATAGGCTGGTGATTTTTTTGCTCTAGGTCTAAAATCCATATATGAGCGAGTACATACCATGTTCCTCTTTTTGTGACTGGGTTACCTCATTCAGGATGGTTTCTTCAAGTGCCATCCACTTGCCTGCGAATTTCAAGATTCCATTTTTTTTTCTGCAGAGTAATATTCCATTGTGTAGATGTGCCACATCTTCTTTATTCATTCTTCAGTTGAGGGGCATCCTCCTATTATTTTAATGCATGTTTTCCTAACTACACAATTTTCATTCAAAGCAGTGCTTCCATGATTTGACTATCAGCCTGTCTGGGTTACCAATGTATTCCCTTGCTCATTATCATAGATTGACAGAAGCCCTAGAACCTAAATATGAAATGTATCAGATCAGCTTCAAAAGTCAAATTTATGTGTTGAAATAAAATTATTTTGGACTATTTTCTGTTCTGCTCTCCTTGCAAAATGCATTCCCATTGACTACGTAGACATTTGGACATCTTTCTATCTATATTTAATCCACCTATTTATTTGTTTAATTCTTATAATTAGCTTTAAGACATTTAAGATATTTCAGGGAACTACTTTTACTATCTGAGGCAAAGGGAAAGGAATGATTTCTTTTCTGTAGCTGTTTGCATAGAAGAACAACATGACTTCCATGTTTTGGTTGAAGAACTTAGATTTTGAAGCAGGATTCCTTTTGGGTTAAAGTAGCATGAGTTCTCTGAGGTATTGAATAGTTTCCGAATTCTTCATTAAGTTCAGGAAGTTTAGGAAGTTAAGTTCCCAAGTTCCTGCCAACATATCTGTTGTCAGCATTCATATGGAAAAAAGAATCTTAATGCATCCAGTCTTATAAATTAGAAGAGGCAGAGGCAAAGAGGAAACTGGACATTATTTTTTAATTCACTTCGGTTATGATTATAAAATATAATTGAATATGTAGGTTTCCAGCCTTTTTTTTAAGTTGCATCCATTCATTTGTATTGTGTTTTCTCTGTAGGTACCCCGATGGTCCTACTTCAGCATCCACCTTGCCTAAATCAAAGGAGGAGGAGAGTGATTTTAATGACAAGGTGAAATGTTGCTCCTTGAAATTAATGTGGTTGAGAGATATGTTTTTCTGTAGTGTTTACTTTTGAAATTCTGTACTGGTCTAAATATTGTCATTCTGTTGACAATCATCGACACTAGTCAGTTGGTGAGGAAAAGATGTTTTCATAAGACTGTGACTTGTGACTAATCGACTACTTCTTTAATATGATAAACAACAAAGATAAATTAACTTTTTTGAAGTAAAAGGGAAAGGAGCAAAATAATAGTTTAAGAAGTAAGGAACAGAATTTCCACGGAAGAGGAGATTTCAAATATGGTAAATGATATTTGGATGAATGCCACTTATGACTTATAAATCATATGATCTGATAATATCACAGAATCACAATGAAGCAGAGATTCCCACAGGAGAGCACAGAACTATTTATGGAAGATTGATAACTGCTTTTAAAAATATATCCAGCAACAAATGTTTCTCATGTCACTTTCAGCAAAGCTATTCACCTTAGCATTATTGGTCTTTTGTATTCACTGTAGGCGTTATATTTGTGTCTTTGGGGTGTAGACCTTGAGCCCAGGTTGCAGTGTAGATGTAGAAAGTATTCTACTGCACAGCTGCAGGTCCAAATCCAACATTCAGAGTTAATTTTAGTATACTCTAATTCCCAATCATCTGTTATCTGTTTAAAACTTGTAAAAAACACTAACCAAGATTCTAGCTATATTTTTCCTTCCTAATGTGAATACTGGATACAGATTTACAGACATTTGAACAGTATTTGAAAAGGATTAGTTCAAAAAAACATTTGTAAGGGTAATGATAGCTTGATATTTTCATAGTGATTTTTTTCTGCAGTCAAGGGTTACCATTTTATATGGCATGATTAGGAAAAATAATTATTATTATGCTGTTTATAGGTTGATAGAAAAATTGCATTAACTTTTAAATGAGGTCTTACCTTTCTTCCTTACACAGTACTGATAGTTATAAAGACCTAATTTTATAGACAAAGTTTCTCTTCTAGGGCTGAAAAGTTTTATTTGAAGATACAAACTTTCTATATTGCCAAAGTTATCCTCCAGTTCCAGGAGTGAAGTTGTTTGCTTTATCTGGCATGCTCCAAACGAAGCTTAAAATTATTTATTTATTATTTATTTCAAAACAGGGTTTCTCTATGTAGCCCAGGCTAGCCTAGAACTCATAGAGATCTGCCTGACTCAACCTCCTAAATCCAGAGATTAAATATATAGTACCATCACTGGCCAGCAAATTTAAATACATTGACTTTAATTTTTAAATTTTTCATATAAGGGTATTGTATTTACATCATTTTCACCCTGTCTTCTCTCCACTCCAGCTTCTCCTATATATGTCCATATCTGCTCTCAAATTGCTCTCTAATTCATGCCCTTTTATTGTTTAATGTGAGTGTGTGTGTGTGTGTGTATATATATATATATTAATTAAGTACATTTAGTCTTTTACACACTTGGGATTGGGCAACCTGTCAGGAGGTTTGTCCCTGGAGAAAACTAATTCTTTGTTTCATCTAGGGATGGTACCTTGTGAAATTTCTACCATTCTCCTTGGCATGTTTACAGATATTTTCATTATACAAGTCTTATTTAGGCAAACATGTCACTAAAATTTTACAGGCACAGCTTTCCTTTCACACCTAGAAGACAGTATCTGCAGTAGGCACACTGATTCCCTGGCCATTCATTTTTTTCTGTTTTCTATTCCAAGGCATCCCCGGTACCTTAGGATTAAAGGCTGAAACTGTAAATACCAGATAGTTTCAGGCACCCAATAGTGGCCAATTATTTTTATTTTTACCAGTTATGGCTCTCTGATAGTCTCCACATGCTACAAAGGAAACTCATCTTGTGAAAGGTGGGAACTATATTCATCAGTGGGTATTAGAAAACAGGAATTATAGTGGTTGAGGAAAATGGCAGTAGTAGGTTCTCTAGATTCTAGGATGTCTACTAGCAAGGATTGTTGGCTAGATTTGTAACCTTATACTGAGTAGGCTCTAAATCAAGCTAGACAGCAATTGGTTACCACTAGGAAGAAAGTAACACTATTGCACCATTAGGGCTATCTTGCTCAAACATCATTGTCGTGATTCACAGGCTCTGTAACAAGGTAGAAGTATTGGTTGCTTTTCTCTCCCGGTAGGTTTCATAGTGTCTTTGGATGCTATAAAAGTCAGTCCTCATGGAAAAGCAATCCATTCTAGTTCTTGCTGGATTCCTCCCAGTCCCATGTTTGAGTTGTGTGGTGTTTGCAGTAACAGAGTCTAATCTCCAAGTTATTGGAAGAGATCAACAACAACATGAAAGGTCTATATTTCTTTGGGGAGTCTCTTAGAATCCACTGACCAATAACTCAAAGGCTATTGTCCTTGTTTGAAGCTGAAGATTTTGTTAGCCTGTCTATAGCTCTTGGGGAAGTTACACCCACCAAAGTATTATAAATTTTTTAAGTTATTTAGATATGCATACACACATATTTATCATTATGTTTTATATAAACATAAAATAATATGTTCCCTATGGATTTTCAAGCATCATTAGTGTTAATTAGTTCTCCTCCATCTCTATGTATTATTGTTCTTCTCCTATAGTTAAAATCCATTTATCCCATTTTTTTTTCTCCTTCTAGGCACCTGCATCCTACTGTCCCCACTCTCTAGAGCTCCTCCCTGGGCTTCCTTTGTACTTTCCTTTCTTGTATTTTTAGAAGCCATCTGCTTGTTACATCTAGGATTACTGTTGTGAAGTTGAGTTGTTTTGTTCTCTGTTGTTGTTTTGTTTTTAAATAAAAAATGTGGATTTGAGAAATACCCCAGGAAGAGGGAAAGCACATTGCTGGTGAAAGCATGTTAGGTTTTGATTGACAAACAGAGGAAAGGTGAAGTTCTGGGGCTAAGCATAGCTGTTTATTAGAATGCTTAAGGAGAAGGCTTTTTAAAAAATCGATACTAACTTGCTATGTGAAATGTAAGAATTGGGCCATATAAGGTTAACTTTTAGAAAATATGTACAAGTAAGGAGATTATCTATGGACATGTCTCCTGTAGACTTCCAGTTTTGTTTTACATAGTGGTGGCAAATAGACTTAGAGAGCACGAACAAGGTTTGGTATTGGAAATAATTGTGGTTTTAGACACATTCCTATGTGCTTTATGTAGAGTTTCTTTTAAAAATTGGAAATTTATGTATCTTAAAATGAATAAGAATACATTAATTTCTTTATTTTTGGTATTAATTTTAGCTGAGTTCTTCTAAGGATGCTCCTGGTAAATATCCCAGTAACTTATGTGGGGCTGGAGATCAAAGAGACAAAAATGAAGCAAAAGGAACAGTGGGAGGTAAGAACTATATTCTATAAAGATGTTAACTGACTGTTTACTGATGAAATCTAGTAGCCAAAAAACTTGCCACTCAATGGATAACCATGCAAAATGGAAGTGAAATGCCAACAATTAGTACCTCTTATCAGTCTTTAATAACAGGTGAAACTGAGACTCTTACTAAAGGAGTTTGCTTATGGTTATCAGTTCATGACATTCTTATATACAAGGACTCTGGGGAAATAAGTAAGAAATTAGTGCAGGGAATGAATACCAATAAAGACATAAAAAAACACAAGGAATAAATGAAGAAAAACCAATAAAGGTTTTGTTGTACAGAGTATGAAAGAAAGGATGCCAGGGGTTAAGGTTATGAAACAAAAAGAAAGTTGTCTTTATGTAACAAAACTAGCCTGCGAAATAAGGAAGATATTTCCCACTTTATATCACCATCTCATGTTTCAAAAAGTCACTAATGGCTGACAAACTGTATCATGCAGAGGCAGATTTACTTTACTTTAGATTATTAAAAACACTATGAGGTCAGTTATACAGGTGTGGTATGCAATGCCACGTAAATTGTTGTTACAAGGTGGCATCTTATAAGATAAAATAAAAGGTTTGAACAAGAACAATTAATAGTTTTAGGTGTAGGAAGTTTGAGAGGAAGTAATTTCCAGACACTATTGGAAGAACTACAGGACAGATTCCATACATAAGCTGAGGCAAAGAGATGTTGAAGCAGATATCATAGAAACTAGTATTTCTCAAAGTTATAGAAATTTGGGATCAATGCCCAAAACTTTGCATTTGCAATATTTTCTCAGGCTGTAGCAATAATCTCTTATTTTTTAGATAAATATAGAGAGGGATTTTGGATTATTAGTGAAGATGTGATAGCATCAAGAGAAAGAATACATTTGCTTTTACTGGGGAGCATGAAAATAGCAATCAAGGAAGAATCAAAGAGAGATAGTATAATAAGTAAAGTTTATAAGGCAATAATGATAGTTCATGGCAGAAATAAACCAGTAGATAGAATGTACAGTAATATGAATTTAAATTCAGCCCTGTTTCCTCTGTCTGAAATTACAGCTAATTTACCAATGAATTGCTGTGTGAAAATCCTCTATTGCTCACATGATACAATAATGCAGTTTTGTAATAACAGATATGTTTAACTCATTTATTGCTAAAATTGTACCTGGAAGTAAATGGTTTCATTGTTTCACATGTAGCTAGTAAAGCCTTCATAATTTTTCAATGATAAGTCATTTTAAACATTGACAGTCATATTTCAAAAGTTCATTTGCATTCAGTTGAATTTAGGTTCATATACCTACTAAAACATTTCTGTGTTACCTAATTTATAAGCTTTGATAAGTCCTTGTAGCCTTGTCAATTCAATCATTCTGTATTATTTTGGTAAAGATAAATGCCGAGGTATTATTGTTTTTTACTATCAGCTTTAATAGTTGAACTCTGATATGGGTCTTCTTTTACAAATTTTAATTCTAATTTTATGATCTTAGTTTTACAACTGGATCCCAAGCATATTTCTCTTCTAACTGAACAGAAATAGAACAAACAAAAACAAAATTTGGCAAATTTTAAATTTCTATTTCCAAAGTACCTATGAGCCTTTGGTCTACATGGACTCT